GTTTTTACTGTAACATCAGATTTATTTTTAAATTCTGCAAAAGAATTCAGTTTTTATACCATTTATTATAAAGAAAATCTTTTCCCCTCTTTTTCCTTCAAGAAACCTTATTAGGAACTATCTGGCTGGCAGGCATACTGGTTTGCTTATATTGGACGACAGTTATTTACTTTTGCTACACACATTAAGAAGGTTATTTTTGCTGTTTATATAAAGTGTGTAGTTAGACCATTTTTTTTCTTAAGATTGCCAGAGGACTAATATTGAGGATAAATGAAATTGCTTAAAACATCTTCACTGAATACTTCTCTCAAAAGGAAGGTAAAGCTTTCAGGGATTAATTTATTTTAAGGGACCATTAGGCTTAAGGCCAATGTTTCTCAACCTTGGAAACTTGAACACGTGTAGACTTCAATTCCCAGAATTCACTAACCAGCATGCTCATGGCATTTAGGATGTCAGTGCTCAAAAATTAAGTAATTGTTCCCAAGAATGAAATCAATCAATCAATCGTCTGTCTGTCTGCCTATCATCTAACCATCATTCATTGTTTGATTTATATCACACCTTCAAAGTGTCCATATGTAATGCTCTCTGCTCCTGTTTTCCCCACAACAGTTCTGTGAGGTGAATTGGGCAGAGAGAATGGGTTCAAGAGCACAGCAAGTTCTTTCAATTAAAAAAAAAACATTTGTCCCTTCCTGAAAAAAAATGTATTCTTTCTTGATACTTTTTTTTTGCTTTTTCAAGAGAAGCAACATTTTCTTTCTAAATATTGTACAAACATTCTTTGCATCCTTATGAATTTATTTATTTGTACAATTTAGGCCACGGGTGCTTTTTCTGAGGACAGTTCAGCTTTGGCAGCCAACTTTTAGGATACAGAAATTAACACTAATAAAAGCAGATAAAAATTAGTGGAATATTTTCTAGATAAAGGTGAAATATTCTACCTCTTGATCCTTTGACATTGCTACAATTGTTTCTTGTTTGATTGTATCACGTTTGTGTTTGTATAGCTATATAATATCCATTGCCAGCTTGCTGGGCCTGTCGTAACTTCAACATTCCTTTTGTCAAGATGTTTCACAGTGATCGAGACCTTCATGGCTGTCATAGTGGTCCTGTGGCACGAGACTACACCATACTTTGCCCAATATTAACAATCCCTTACTTTGTTCTGTTACTATCTCTCATGATGTGGACATGCGGTTGAACTTTGAGAGGTTGAGAGCTGCTTGAGAAAAGCTGCTGGAACAACTAGAAGGGATAAAATCAGGAATGAAATTATAAGGGAAAGAATTGGAACAGAACTAATATTAAACTACATATAAAGACAGAAAATAAAGTGGTTTACCCATCTGGAGAAAATGTCTGGGGTTTCCATATCACATAAGGCATACATAAAATGAGGAGAAGGTCAAAGAGCATGAGGCAAACCGGAAAAAGATGGAAAGACAATCTCAAAGACATACTACAGCAGCATCAAATAACAATGGTTGAGGCCACAAGAAGTGCAAGAACAAAAACTTTGTATCTCCCTTGAAACCCAAAGTGATAAAAGGGGAAGGGGAAGNGATGATGATGATGATGATGATGATGATGATTCTCAGTCATCCAGGTCATGGTTGTTTTTCTTTGAAGACATTTTGCTTCTCATCCAAGAAGTAAGAAGTCAAACAGGGATCAAAGAAGCCATCTATATAAAAATTGAACAGCCCTCTCTTAACAGAGGGGGCTGTTCAGTTTTGGCATAGATAGTCTTCTTTCAGGTGTGTCAAATAGGGGTCAAACAGGCCATCTATGTCAACATTCAATAGCCCTCTCCCATCGGAGGGGGAGGGATACAACATCATCTATCTCGAGTCTATAACACAGTCCTTTCAGCAGTTCAGAAAGGCTCCACATCCATTTGCACTACTCAGGTGACCCTGAAGACACAGATAAGGCTCCAAGTGGCCTCAATGATTCTCTAAATTTAGAATGCAAATGACCAGCTATCTAACAAAATGAAATTCAATTATGAAAAAAAAGTAAGTTCTATATTTAGGCAAGAAAAATCAAATACACAGGTATAGTATAGGTGGTATCTTGCTCAATAGTAGTAACTGTGAGAGGGATCTCAGAGTCCTAGTGAACAATCACTTAAATATGAGCCAGCAGTATGCTGCAGCTGCCAAAAAAGCCAACACAGTGCTAGGCTGCATTAACAAAGGGATAGAATCAAGATCACGTGAGATGTTTATACCACTTTACAATGGCTTGGTAAGGCCACACTTGGAATACTGCATCCAGTTTTAGTCACCACGATGTAAAAAAGATGTTGAGACTCTAGAAATAGTACAGAGAAGAGCAACAAAGATGGTTAGGGGACTGGAGGCTAAAACATACAAGGAACGGTTACTGAAATTGGGTATATCTAGTTTCATGAAGAGAAGGACGAGGGGTGACATGATAGCAGTGTTCCAATATCTCATGGATTGCCATAAGAAAGAAGGAGTCAAGCTATTCTCAAAAGCACCTGAAGGCAGGACAAGAAGCAATGGATGGAAACTAACCAAAGAGAGAAGCAACCTAGAACTAAGGAGAAATTTCCTGACAGTTAGAACAATTAATCAGTGGAACAACCGGCCTCCAGAAGCTGTGAATGTTCCAACACTGGAAGTTTTTAAGAAGAGACTAGACAGCCATTTGTCTGAAATGGTATAGGGTTTCCTGCCTGAGCAGGGGGTTGGACTAGATGACCTCCAAGTTGCCTTCCAATGTTGTTGTTGTTGTTTTTGTTGTTGTTGTTGTTGTTGTTGTTGTTGTTATTATTATTATTATTATTATTATTATTATTATTATTATTCTGTCTGCAAGGAATATAAATCCCTCCATTCTCTACCATCCAATTAGAGCTGAAAAAGCTTCTTGAAAGAGAAGCAAAATGTCTTCAAAGAAAAAAAAAGGAAGTCCAGTTGTCTCTTAAAAAAGCACCTTTGGGATATTCATGTATTATCTCACCAAATCTTTTTTTTTACAACGTTGTTTGGAGGTTTGATGCTTATATTTTTCTCATGTTAATATTATTTAGAGATATTAGAGCCTAGACAGTTAGAACTATTTTTATATATTTTCTATTGTATGCTGCTTATTGGCATTTTTATTTCACAATTATATATACAGTGATTTACGTATAGGGGCATATTGTTATTTGTTTATAAAATGTATTATCTTCCCTAATTCCAAAGAATACTAGCTTCTATATTTTTAATTCATTTGTAGAATATACACATAACTCTTCTTGAAGTATAATCATCTGTTGGCTGACATATTTATTTGTGAATTGTCCAGTTGTCTCTTTTTTCCAAGATTAGAGTGATGTATGATAAGCCTTGTAGTAATGTTCGCTGAGTCTCGGTGAAATCTAAAATTGCTATGGGTGATTTAATATTTTGACTGCTTGACAATTCTGAAAATGTGATATTATCTGTCAGGAATTGGCCTTCTGCCGTAATGCAAATTGTAATTAAGCTCCCAAAATGCTTAAATATTATTCCAACAGCTTGATAATGCCAGGTGCAGTTTATAAGATATAAATCAGTAATTAGTTATGTCCTATCATTAAGTCTAACTTCCATAGTCAATATATAATCATTAGCTAACCTATTACTATAGCTCAATGCATATTTTGCAAAATGTTCCAGGCTGGTCCTGGATGACATTATTTAAACAAATCATGACCAAGAAATAGAATACATGACCCTGTAGAAAGACATGGCCAAAGAATATAAAAAACAGAGGATTATCCAATAAATATTAAAATGGCCTGGTTTATTGTCACACTAAACTAAAACATTATTTTGGTTTTGATTTTCCATGTTCTGTGAACCTGGCCAATTATCCTTTATTCAATAAACGATAGTTAAACTATCCATGATTTAGTGTGACATGTAAATTATGTGATTTCATATAAAACACCTTCTGTGTTATGATATTTCAAACATGAAATACCCTGGAATATAATAGTCTTGAAGTCAAAGACTTGTGATCATTTTGTTATTAAATCTCATAAACCTATGCACACAAAATATAGAGACACAAGAATTTAATTAAATCCACAATTCATTCTAGATGAGTGAGAGAGGAGCAGAATATTTTAATATGTTATTTCTTTAGCTCCTAGATCAGATATAGCTATGTCAAAGTAGGTTTATGATCTCCAGTGCAAACATATTAAATCAATCTCTACAAGAAATTATTTTATGTACTCAGATAGTTTTGGAATAGGAAACTAAGCTTTTTCTGTGAAAAAAGAAATACAATACTTTTTGTTTCTGTGTTTAATACTACTTTCTAACCAAAAGGATTTGGATCTACTATAGAACAGTAATAGAACTGCTTATTCAGAAGCCCAACACTTCCAAAATAAATGAAAATAAAACAAGAAACAGATGGCTTTTAACAAATAATGAACAAAGACTTTACAGTTTAAAATGCAAGTTTTATTTAGTGAAATTGGCCGTTCTGTTTCTCAGGTTGCTTTATTTATTAGTTGCATTTGAAAAGAGTTGGTTCTTCCAGATGGTGTGTTGAAATAGACTGTGTGAGCTACACTTGAAAGCACTTCTCACCTAAGACAGCCTTGAATCACTTCAAGAAAGTTGCTCTTCATAGTTTTATATTTAAAAGCCGCTTCTCAGCTTTTAAATAATGTGTGTTAATGATATACTCTTGGACTTTGGGTTGATGTATGGAGGTCCTTGTTGATGTGTTTTTGCCTATATTCTTGTATAGATCCATCTTGTTTTGTTTTTATGGTCTATTATATTTTAAGCCACACAGGGTGAGTAGAGTCAAATGGTACTTGCACTGAATTAATTATGAGATTATTGAGCTTTGGCTAAATCCTAAGAAAGCAGAATCACTATGAATAGGCAGTTCCTTTATCCAGGAATTTGTAAAGAGTGTCCTATAATTGGATGGAATTGTTCTGCCCCTGAAGAGACACATTGACTTCATGGTGATTCTTTTGAAGGCAAAACTGTTATACCATAAATGGCCTCCATCTCCAAAAGTCTCTGCCCAGTTCCAGCTGACTCAACAGCTATAATTACACTTCCATTATGGCCATTTCTAGATAAGGATAACCATGTACAGTAATTTATGTACTAGCAAATTAAGATTGCTCTGGAAATTGCAACTGCTGAAAAGAGGTGACAGGGGTACCTATCAGAAATATTTCACTATTGTTGTGAAGGGACTACAAGGCGATATATATGTGTGTGTGTGTGTGTGTGTGTGTGTGTGTGTGTGTGTGTGTGTGTTTTCTGAGGTTTTCGCGGGTGTTTGTATGTAGGTCTTTGGTTATTCGGGTTTTCTCCCGCATAAAATTGGAAGTGTCTTGGCGACGTTTCGATGAAGTCCCATTCGTCATCTTCAGGCTGGTGTTTTCAGCTTCATGCTTCATTACTCCTAGAAGCACGAAGCTGAAAACACCAGCCTGAAGATGACGAATGGGACTTCGTCGAAACGTCACCAAGACACTTCCAATTTTACGCGGGAGAAAACCCGAATAACCAAAGACCTACATATATATATTTGTTTTCGTAGATTTTCACGGGTACAGGTATGCAGGTCTTGGCGTATTCGGGTCTTTTCCCGTGTAAGATTGAGAGTATCTTAGCGACGTTTCGACGAGATCCCACTTGTCATCTTCAGACTGGGGTCTTCGGCTTCGTGCTTGTGTGAGCAAAGTGTGATCGGAGCTGCCGTCTATAAATATTTATATTCTCTATACCAATATTTATAGAGAGACAGCAGCTCCGATCACACTTTGCTCACACAGGCACGAAGCCGAAGACCCCAGCCTGAAGATGACGAGTGGGACCTCGTCGAAACGTCGCCAAGATACTCTCAATCTTACACGGGAAAAGACCCGAATACACCAAGACCTGCATATATGCAGGTCTTGGCGTAATCAATCAGACCGGTCTGTCTGAAAAACTTCCTGTATATATATACTTATACTTATACGTATTAGCCAAAGACCTGATAAATCCATACACAGATATATATGTGTATTTGCATGGTAATTTTTACAAAGTATATGGTTTTAAGTGTACTGTTTGTATTGAATTATTCTTTTTCCTGGAAGCCTATGAAGATGACTGCCTTAAAGATGTAAAATTGCTCAGTTGTTCATATAACTCAGGAGTTGAAACATTATCCCATACATGGAGCAATATCAGGATATCATGTTACTGCCTTTGCCAGAATAGAATTATCTCACAAGTCTGGTGATCAAGAGACAACCTCAGAGTTTCCATTCTTTGTAACTTGCATTGTATGTAGATAAGATGGCTGGCCTTCTTGGGAACTTCCCCACTTTACAGAACTCTTTCCTGCCCCAGAGGTAATATCCCTTACCAACTCTGGGATATGTACAAAATTTTTACAAATACTTATCTAACTACAAGAGGTAGTATATGTAGTAAAACAAATACTGCAATATGTATAGGAAAAATTACCAAAAAAGACTGTCTTAAGAAGCATGTATGAAGAACAGCATTTCTGAAAATATCTTGAAAAAAATACCAAATTATAAAGTTACAAAAACAAAACATAAGTTTTTATTAATTTTACAGTGTTTCATAACACAATTTTCTTAGAAAATTTGATACTGTCACCAGCTTTATTTATTTATAATTTAGATTTCTAAGACTGTTCAACTCAGCAGTGATTCTGGGCAGCCTTAGAATATACTCTGAATATACCACAATATGATTTATTTAATGCGTAGCGCTTGTTAGAAAGAAATTAAATTCACTGATAGAAAAATATAATACTGGGATTATAATCCTTGGCATTATGTCCTGCCCTGCAGGAATGTATGCCAGATGAAGAAAGAGTACTTATGCACAATATCATACATTCTTACACTTCATCAATATTGTGTGATCTAATTAATATCTACTCAATACTATTTGCAAGGTTATGCAAGACATTTTAAAGACTGACTAGGGGACCTAAAAACAACTCTAATCACTTTAACTCAGTTCTAAAGGTATATAGGTATTCCTTGAGTTATGACAGTTCATTTAGCGACCATTCAAAATTACGATCCCCTCCCCCCAAAAAGTATTTATAATCCAGTCCCGAAGTTACATATGTTGCAGCAGCACAGCAGTCGCTTGCTCTTATGACCAACCGCAGAAACGTTGCAACATGCCCCTTGCCTATTTCCCCCTCCATCCTGCCCCACTGGGCTTGTGGAGACCCGGCGGGGCAGGATCCTGGGAGGGAAGCAATTATGGGGACCCCAAGAGATCATGCGATATCTCAGTGGGTCGGGGGAGGCCTTGGGTGGTCAGAAGCAGGTGGCCTGTTGCAACACTAGCCCCCCCTCATGGTCTTCCCCACCCTGAAATGGGACACTCATCTCATTCTGTGCATTTGATTAGAAAATGCATTGGGGAAAGCAGAGAGGGATCATGTTAATTTAATGTGATCCAATCAACGAATCCTTGGTTTATGAATGTAATTGGCAAGTTCTATTACATTCGTAACTTGAGGTTTACCTGTATTCAAATGTCATTCCTACTGATGTCTGTACATGGATAAAATTAAAATCAATTTAATTGATTTTGTTCATGACTATGTTTGCACTTTATGATGTAATGCTGTAATGTCATTAGTGGGATCCAACCATGTTTTCCTATTTTTTTAAAAAAAGTTCATTTACCAAAATGCAATTTTAAAATTTATTATAATAATGAACCTACTACTGTGTGTGTTTGTATATTCAAAGATAATGACATTCTTTTGTAAAAAGACTTATCTGTAAGGCAGTGGAAAAATTATGTAAAACTGGCAATGCTTCCTAATCTTTTTATAATTTTTTTTTACCTTGCTTCAGGGACTTTTTTTTAGTTTTAAACAATGGAATATTCTATATACAAGAGTTATAGGTTTTATCATAAATATACTTTTTCAGTTAATATTAGTGGCATATATAAAATTTAACCATACTAATAATATAGTCTGTTTTTTTTAAAAAAATGTGGAACATTTATGAGTTTTGAATGCACTGCATAGAAATAAATGCTAAGAAAATATAGCAATATTTAACACAGGATTAATATACTTTTCTATCATCATCATCAGTTCTCAAATTGAATTTCCAATGTTTAACATTTTAAATTGTTCTTCATTAAGATTCTCATGCAGTTAAACACTTTTTAAATCACCAAATAGTATATATCTTCTGTACAACCATAATACACTATGATACAAACTTGAAGCACATCAAAATTAAATTCTTGTAAAAATTTGCATTTGATATTATAGAAGCCATTTTCTTATCTTCAAACCACTGCAAATATTCTGAATGCTTTGCCTCCTGGAGGATTCTGTAAACTGTAACAGAAAAATAAAGAACCAATTGCTTGAAGGAACTTAATCTTATCATGTACTCTCATTTTACATATGGACCTCTCTATTAAATTTATATACTTATATATGTCATTACAAGAAAGATGACCTACAAATATTTGAACAGCATAGTCAAGTTACATACAATAGTGGCCAAAATTGTGGAAACCTTTTGGGAAAAGTGTATTTTTGAGGTTGATGGCTAATAACACCACTTTTTTTGGGAGTAGTGCCATAAAATTATATATCAATGGAAAGATAATTTAATTAGGAATGTAATGCAACAAAGTTTGTTCAATTATATGTACTGTATTCTATGAAAAGTTATAGCCAAATAACTAAAAAAAGGAAGTACAACTTGCTTAGGTTGATATTAGGTAGCTTTCCTTCATCTGATTGTAGCCAATGACCATGAGTGTTTAGAGAGCCAATCAGATGTCATCTTGTTTTGGCAATGAGTCAATCAGATCACAGTAGGATTCAGTTATTGATGTCATGTATTGAAGCTGAGAGGAGGACATTATGTGATCACTATCAAGTTGGTTGGGTTTTTTGTGTTCTTTCGTTTAGTGAGCTTGTAAAACGTAATAAAATTAAAGTAATGGTGCAAAGAGTTGACTGGTTGCCCAGAAAGTGATGTAAAATAGTATTATTAAGTGAACAAGGCTACAGTTATAAAGAAATTAGAAGAAAAAATGGTGGAAACTTAACCAAAGGTGGCATTTCTACTGTACACTTTTCCCAAAAGGTTTCCACAATTTTGGCCACTACTGTAGCATGTTTAATTTACTGTATAGCTAATGGCAAAAGCAATAGTTATTTCTATCAATAACTAGAAATGCTATGGCCTTTCTAGAAATGTCATTGATCTCACAAAAGCCCATCTATAATTGCTACACTAACAAGAAGTGCAGTGAGCTCAAGATCTAAATTTGATATAAGTCACAAAGACAACTTCAGTTCTGAGTAGACTCAGGGACAGTCTTACCAAGGAATATTACAGTATCTTCACAACATTACCACTGAAAGCAAGGTATTGATTCATTCCTATTTAAATGTGCTTCTTGCACATGGACAATACCATAAAAATATCTAGGTGTGATGAAGGAACATTTACAAGAATTTCATAATGGAAGTATAAAGTTTAGAATATCTTTTTGGATGCCTCAATTTGAGCTCTGTCATAGTTTTCAGTGAGAGTATACCTGAAGGAGGCAGCCCACAATAGGACAGGTCAAGGTATATTTGTGTCTTTCTCTGAATGTAATTGTCAAAAAAAATGAAGGCCACCAAAGACTTGCTACCAAATATTTGTTTTAGCTAGAATTTAAATCAGCAGGATCTTAGCAGGAACAAAACCACATTCTGCCTAAAGAACTGCATCCATTGTTGATTGAAAGACACCAGATGGCTTTCAGAAATTTAGATTGAATGATTTCCAAGGCAGATTTGCAGATTTGGGGACTGCACATTAAGAAATTTATAATCTTGTTTAAATAGTCTGACTGCTGCAGATACATATTAGTTGCCTTTGTGGCTTACAAATATAATAACCATAAGGGAGATATGTATTTTTATGATTGTATTGTGAGTTAATAGTTGTTGAGTCTAGAGGTATATTTATTGAATCTAGATGGAACGTAAATAGCTATATTCTTGAAGTCCTTAACTAACTTGATTGACTATAATTAATTTTTCAGTTATGAAACTAGTCAGAAAGTTTTAATTAAGTTAGCTAATTTTAAAAGAGTAATTTAGTAAATTATCTAATTAAAACATATCTTTGTTTTATTGTAGCTAATTTCTAATTTTCTTCTAAGGCAGAAATATCCTAGTGCCCCCACAAATTGACTTGGTAAAAGTTAGCTACATTATCTATAAATAGAGATGGGTGAAAACTAGAGAATGACATGTCATTTTTTTGCAAGGGCCAATATTATGTCATTATTGTAAATGCTATATTAAATAATAAAAGGGCAAGAATACAGCTGCTTTACTTCTTTTTTAGGATTCAGCATAAAAGTATTTTTATGTGATTTATCAGCTGAAGGAGGCAGAAGCAGATGGCATCTGCCACAATGTTTCTCGGGGATTGAGATAAAAGGCACCTCCAAATAAACAGAAGATTCCTTAGGAAACTGAACTACTTCTCAACTGGGTGATCTGGGGTTACACACTGATAAACACTTGAATAATCTGGAAGAAACCTACTTGTTCTGCAATTTAGTTGTTTTTCTGGATCATCCAATTGGCAAATTTATGATAGAAAGGTTTCATGTAGAACTTGCTAATTTGGCAACATAGGTTGATGGGATGATAATTAACATGATTATTCTTAATTGTAGATTGGTAAGATAATTGAATGAGAGCCAGTTTGATGTAGTGATTAAGGCATCAGACTAGAATCTGGGAGACTAGAACTGAGTTCTAATCCTGTCTTGGGCACAAAGCTAACTGGGTGAATTTCAGCCAGTCACTTTCTATCAACTTAGAAAGAAGGCAATGAAAAGCACTTCTGAAAAACTTTGATCCAGGCAGTCTCCGAGAATCAGACACAATTGAATCAAAGGAAAAAAAAGCAATGCCTTCTCCAGTAACACAATAAAAAGTATCAGGTGTACTCTAAAGGCATGCTTTGTACCTTTCTGAAAAAATGCCATTTTGAAATGAAGCAGTGTACATTCTTCTCTTATCCACTGGCATGACATCAACAAAGCCGCCTTCATTGCGAATTACTCCAGCATGTACTGCTGTTCGGCAGATACTGGACATCTGAGGGAAATACAGAATAGAAGAATTCCCCTGTTAGAAAGTAGTGTTGACTTACAAAATATTAACTGAATTTATACAGTATCCTGTTTTTCCTAATGTCCACTTGTTGATTCAGATTAAGCGATAGTAGGACAGCTTGGCTGGGAAGGTCGCAAATGGCGTTCATAAGACCCCAGAACGCTGCAACCATCGTAAATGCATATCAATTGCCAAGCATCTGAATGTCAATCATGTGACATGGAGATCCTGTGATAGTTGTAAGTGGGAGTACCCATTGTAACTTTTTTCAGTACTGTTGTAACTCTGAGCAGTCACTAAACAAATGGTTGTAAGTTGAAGACTCCCTGTATATGGATTCCACAAGTATAAAATTTGCTGAGAAGGAAAAGAATTTTCCCCAAGTTGCCCAATCTCAGCTAGCCAAAGATTTGAGAACTGTCAGCATTTTGAATACAAATGTTCTCATCAATGAGAAGATGGCTTATTCACTGTGGTTGAAAGATTTTGAGGAAACTGAAAAATTATACAACATTTTAAAATTTTCATGCAATACTTTTGATATTCATACATCTTCCCCAAAATGTATAAATACCTATATGTCTCTGGATATAAATATTGATGTTTAAAATGGTGTATCTTCCCTTAAATTACAAAAAGATTTATACATATGTCATGTATAACATGTCATACTGTTTCTTTCACTTTAGTGTGGTTTCCATTTTCTGGTGAGAGTGGGAGTAGCTGTTTTTTATATTACTATTATTTTTATTTTATGGCCATATATTTTAAGCTTTTTAAATCATATTCCAGAGGAAAATAAGTTATCATACTTACATCAGAATAAATTATAGTTCCAATCACTCGGGCATAATGTGGATTTGCCTGCATACAGTTGTGAGGACAGTGGATCCTTTAAAAATTGAGGGGAAAGATAAAGATTAAGGATTCTATATGTATACTATAATAACATGAAGGCAAATGTTATCATTGTACTGAATGTAAACAAGAAATATTATAGAATAACAGAACCACAGAAGCCAGTTCTACTATCAAGTCCAATACTCTATTAAGAACTATTCATATTAAAATACCCCCAACAGAAAGCTGTCCATTTTTTATACAAATGAAAAGGATCCTATCACCTCTCTGGCTAATCAGTTCTATTGACAAATGTATAAACATTTAAAACAGAATGCATTGCTTGTTAAAGTGTTGTTCTGTCATATCAATTCAGTAGAGTAGATCATGGGATGCTTGAAGATTTTTCAACAAATCTTGCTTTGCCACCAGTGTTTAGTACTGTATATGCACTGATGCACATAACTACAGTAGATCTTTGCAATTAATGGAAAAACCTGATTGTAAAATAGAGATTGGGCAGTTTAATGTCTTGTATTATACTCATAAAGTGTAGCAGTCTTTACATCTTAACAGTTTGACATTCAAAAAAATGACAAAAGTTTTATGTCTCTGAAAAAAATCAATAATCACATAGAATGCTTAACATTATTGTGTGATTAGTTACAAACATTTTTCATAGGATGGGAACAATAATGAAAAGATTTACCTTGGGCAGTGTGTGGCTGGCCTATAAAATGGACATAATTGTTCTACCGTAGTTTCACAAGTGATAGCTTGTACTGAAATTAAACAAGAAAAAATACACCCAAATATTTGCTATAAAGAGATTTATCAATATGAATGTTGTATCATAAAAATAAATCCTCACCTGTTACTTTAGAGACAGTGAATGAATTAGCCGATTGGTATTTCCTACAGCAAAAACAGAATCTACTGTTATTAGCAGTAATACCATTATCTTACAATGCTCTACAATATTTCTAACAAGGAAATAAGAGAAACAAAAAATATAAAAGTGAGAAGAATTATTTAATAGGGCTATACAAATTCAATTAATCTTCATAACACATTTTGAACAGAAAACTAAGAGAACTAATTTATGATCTAAGGATATGTATGTATGTATATATGTATGTATGTATGTATGTATGTATGTATGTATTTCCCATCTCATGTAGTATAATTTTTTTTCAGCATAATTTTTTGTATTTATACTATTACTATTACACAATAGCAATTATAACAAATAATTTGCAATCAATTGCATTTATATCATGAGTACATAGCCTAAAACATTAATGGGCAATGTTCAGCCCCAAGATCTACACAGATTGCTGTATTGTGCAATCAACATGCATTTGTGCCACAAACATGCATTCTTTCCTATACACATAATTTTGAACACTCAAACTTCATCCCTCTCCATCACTTAGTCTTCTGCTTTGATTGATTTACTGTTGATTGTTGCTTTCCTACAACTAATCGCAGTTATCAAAGAGTGACTTGGTCCTTTCAAGTATTCTCATCAGTTAATCAGATGGATGACAGACACCACACTGCTTGGTTTAATTGCAGAAAGAAAGCCAGTGATCCATATTGTACTATCTGGATCATCATATTAAATGGGTAGAAAATGATGAAAACCATTGGAAAGGCTCTTAGGTCCATGTACCTGAGGATTATATTTTGGTCATCTGTAGTCTACATCAGGAAAGGGTAACTTCTTTTGGCCTAGGATAACAGAAATGTTTGCTTCTTTGGGAGGGGGTTGTAAATTCGGAAGCATGCATAAAGACTTAGCTCCCTTAATTTCTAGAGATAGGGGGACAAAAAATATACTGCTGAGAGCACGATCGTAGCATGCTTTCAGGGTTTCAAAAGTGGATCTTAGGGAGTTGCATTTATTTAGTATGAATAAAGTTTGCCTTTCTTATATTTCTAAATGGGATTCAACACACTGTGCATAATTGAGCAACAGTATCTAACACAGTCAACTAACTCAAATATATAATTAAAAATATCTTAATCAGACAAGTCACAAACAGATTATAAAGACTAACAGAAAAAATGCAGATAATAAAAAGGAGACCATAGAGAACCAATGGAGATGATTTCAGACAAGCTTTCATGGCTCTTATCATGCAACACAGCACTCATTAATGACAACTTCTGAAGATACATAATGTTAAATGTTTTATAATTATTTATTTATTTATTTATTATTTATTTATTAATTAAACTTATATGCCGCCCTTCTCCCTACAGGACTCAGGGCGGCTCACAGCATATTAAAACAACACAAACATTGTCCCCAATAAAAGCCAATTAAAAACAAATATTTAACGCTGTGTTAATTAAAATTCTGATTAAAATTGTCCCTATTTAAAATTCTCCCTAGGCCAGACCCGCTTGCTGAAA